TCCATGTTTGAATGATTCACACACGTCCGTGGGTGGGCATCTGCAGCCAGTGCATGGTGGGCCAATTGTGCCATTGTTTCTTGGGTGTCATGGTAGTTCTCAAATGAGCGGCAGTGGCTGGCCTGAGGGCCAGCACGCAACAATGCTCTCTGCCACGTGGCTCCCCATGCGCCGGGGGCCCTCTTGCCGGGAGCCTACAAGGCAGGGCGTGAGCCAATTGGAAGACCAGTGCTCCCCGCCCATGGCTCCCCGTGAGCCTCGGCCCCTCCTTCCGGGCACCTACGAGGCAGGGAGCGAGCTGGCCCAAAGACCGGCGCTCTCTGCCCGTGGCTCCCCATGCACAGGGCCCCTCCTTCTGGGTGCCTGTGAGGCAGGGAGCAAGCCAGCCCGAAGACCAGCACTCCCTGCCCGTGGCTCCCTGTGTGCTGGAGACTCTCCTTCCAGGCGCCTACGAGGCAGGAAGCGAGCCAGTAGGAAGACCGGGGCTCTCTGCCCCATTAAAGTTTTTTTAAATGAACTTCAAGTGGTTTATATCAAACAACATTAATATTTATTTGTCAGTCTTTAAGTGACAGAAATAAACCCATTATATATCAATGCAAATAATATGTTTTTCTGAAAAAATAATTTTTCAGCACAGAATAGTGAAAGGGAAGAAATTGTTTTGTGTTTTTAAAAAATCTCTTTAATGTCTGGCTTAATGACCATCATTTGCTTACATATTCTTCTCTGTTCAGTCTGTAACAATATGTTGTTTTGGTTGAAGTACATGAAGAAAGCCTGGCTGTACTCAAATATGTAATTGGAAAGAAGAGGAAAAGTTTAATAGCCTTTTTGACTTTTGGGGTTTTCTTTTCTGTTAAGACACTAAAACTCAAGAAATGGTGAATTTTTACAAGTTAATTGCAATATGGAATCTGAAACTTTATCAAGGAACTTTTTCATATTCTGGTACATTAAAATTCATGGTCGGGCTAGGGATTTAGCTCAGCAGCACAGCGCCTGCCTGGCAAGCACAAGGTCGTGAGTTCGATTCCCAGTAGTGGAAAAAAAAATTTCACTGGTCTATCTTGCACTCTGAATAGATCTCTTATGCATACTGATTTTGCGGTATCATCCATTGACCTTTCAGAAAGTATTGGTACATGCAGTTATAAAAACCTTTAAAAATTGGCACATTGTGTTAAGCAATGTTTACTAAATCTCATTTATTAATATCAGCACCAATCACATCAGAAAGTCTTTAGGTAATGTGAAACTGTGGCAAGTTTTGCCAAATTTCAATTTTCTCTTTAAAATACAATGTTATTGTCAATATCATTTTCCTTGAAATGATAGCTTTACTTTGTTGTTGAGAAAATGTCTATCAAATATCCAAGTCTAAATAACCACAGTATGTCTGTCAGACATTCTTTCAAGGAAGATGTTGATCCACTTGAAAAAAGCAGCTAAGTCCATTCAAAATTTAAGCACTTGTAAAGCACAACTGCCTTTCCATTCTGTGCAACTGAAAAGCTCCTTGTTTTGCCACACTGTTAAGATGTGTACTCAAGTCTCAAGACCTAGCAAAAGTAGTGATTATTATTGCTTCCACAGAGCTATTCTTAACTGAAATTGGCATTTTTTTTCTATAAGTGCATGGCAGTGGAAAATATAATTGACTACTTCTACAGTTTGGTATTATTGCTTCAATTTGTGCTAAGACACCGGCAATTTCAGCCACTACAGATTTTGTGCTCTCAGAACAAATAACACAGTGAAAAGAAAAATAATACCCAATAAATAAACAGTGAAGGAATTATAGAACTGAAATATCACCATTTTTCAATCCCCAATAAATTCACAGACCTAGGCAATCACCACTACCTATTACTAACATCACAAAAAGAAAAACAAGTGGACATTACACATCTTCTGAAGAAAGACCACCCAACTAGCTTTGGACTTCCCAAGCATATCAAAACAAAGTCTGATCCAGCCCCTATAACCAATGCTAGTTTTCAGAAAGTACAGAGTGCAATGAGACATGTTAAACTGCAACATGTGTACACAGTCAGAAAAATCCAGAGTGTGGGAAACACTTTGGGTCAAGTAGCTCAGACCAACAGATTAATCTTAATGAAAAGAAATTGATGGAGGAAGAATTTGTGAAATCTAGGAGAAAACAGAAAATGAAGTACAGTGTTTAGGAGTCTTCTTTAGATGAATTGGTTATAAGTAACAACAAGAGATATGTTACAGTAAACAGAGTATATGTTTACTTTTGATGGGAGGAAAGGATTTAACTGGCCTCAGGAACAAGAGGATTTCTGCAGTGACTGGCAAAATTCTGTTTCTTTATTTGAATGGTGATTACAGGGGTTTGGCTTTAAATAATCCATTAATAATACATCTTATGTGGTTGTCTATTTCTGTTTTATTTTACAATAAAAAGATTCTTTAAAACCGTGAAAAGAAAATAGTGATATATGACCCTTTATCTTTTAAAGGCTGTGGAGACTACAGTTGGAACAAATAAAGATTTAGGGATCACAACTCAGAGGGTTAGGTCTGGCCATAGAAAAGTAAACAGCTTGGAATTGGAAGGAGTTCGGTTTTAGGGATATTTCTGAATGATGTCTTTGGAAATAGCAACTAATGAAGTACACAAATAGAAGAAGGTGGAAAGGTGGGAGACACATGACCTCAAAGCATACGCTCTAGAATTAGTTCAGTACTCCAAGTGTGATGGAAAAGGCTCATCCTCGGAACATTAATCTCTTGAGTGTCCTTTACCTAACGCAGGACCCAGGCCACTGAGCACTGCTTCAGGATCCAGGGAAGAGCTTCAGTTAACACTTTTGTATGCTTGTACTGAGCAAAAAAGCTCTTGAGACCTGCAGGAAGATGATAAAGGCTTCATGAGACAACCCTGCCCTCCTATTCCAGAGATTTAAGAGACAATACCATTCAGCTACATCCTCTTCCCCTCCCTGACCCCATAGTGTCTCCTGGCCAAAGAAGAATGGTCTTCCACTTAAAAACAAAGAATAAGAGACATTAGCTCATTACCAGACTGAGTCTTCACAGGTCCTGGAAAGAAAGAATGGAATGTCCCAATTAAGAACAAGTGCTGAGGTTACCATAAGGGATAGAGTATGGATTGCATGTCTCCATCTCTGCTTCCCACCATAATATTTCTGGCTTCAGAATAGACTAGCTTAGTGATCTCTGAGAAGAACAATCAGCCTCCCCGGCCTCTGATCTTTGAGGGAGGAAATGTGGGAAGTGAGGGATGCCACAGCGTACGTGGCAAGCTTCGCTTCAAAGGCTCCTTACCTTTTCAAGCCCTGAGGTGGATGACAATTCCCACCAGAAGGAAGATTAACCCAAATAAGAAGGCTGCAACTCCACTTAGTATCTTTCCCCAGGAATATTCAGGCTGAGCTCCTATGGAAAACAGGTTTTGAAGTTAGTAAAAAGCTATCAATATTTGGTGCACCTTCTTGAAATCCCAAAGCTTATACTCAACACCAAATTCAATGCTATTTAAAGTTTAGAAATGATTCTCTGAGGGCAAGGTTCACACTCATGCAGTTATCTCCCATTTGTTGCTGACTCTTATATCCCATGATATGCCCCTTACATACTAAGACCAAAGTACTAACTAGAGGACACCAGTTCCCAGGGTCAGCAGCAAGTAATGAGGTAGACAGACTGCTGGAAGATATGTGAATAGTTTCCCTGTTTTCTCTCACCCTAACCCAAGGGCTCTGATTTCTGTGACTCTTCAAGATCTAGAGAAAGAAGAATTTGTGTTGTGATCTAGATTAATGCAGAGGGGACACAGACTCTGTAATGAGTCAGTACGATCTTGAGTCAAGCCCAGAGTACAAGAAACTAATTCTCACTCCACTCCACAGAAACAGGGCTCAGCAGGCTGGAGTGCTCCACCCAGCAGCTGTAGACATCTCCAAGTTCAGGGGTCGTCTCCAGCATCACCACAGTCTGAAATGTCCAGTCTCCATTCCTAATGAGGCCACTGGACACAACCCCAGCTCTCTCCTCCTGTCCATTTCGGAACCACATGATCTTTATGTCCCCTGGATAGAAGTCTGTCACAGAGCAGATGAGCAGGTTGTGCTCCTGCAGGAACGGGGTCCTCTCTGGGTACACTGTCACCTCTGGTTGTACTAAGAAATGAGAGGAAAAATGAGACATTGTGAAGGAAAAGCACCAAGCCAGGGCATGGGGTTTTGGGGACTACCACTTCCCTGGATCTCTTTCCCAGATCACCCAAGTAGAAACCCAAACTGTAGGAAATATTAGTCCCCAAGACTTAAACAGGTGATGTCAACACCCTCAGGAGGATTTGCACTTTACCATGTCCTCCTGCAGCCATTCCTTGTACTTGAAAGTATGCTAGTCCTCGAAGCCCCTTGTAGTTGTTCTATATTTCCCCAAAATAAGATCTAACAGGAAAATAAGCCCTACCGTGATTGTTTAGGATGCTCATAATAAAGCCCTATCCCCAAAATAAGAGTCAGTTAAGATTATCAACCAGGTGGACATACTGAGTAGATCCATTAAAATGTCTGTTAATGTTTCCCTCCTTTTATCTTTAAAATAAAAAAAAAATTAAAAAAAAAAAAAAAAAAATGGGGAAAAAAAAAAAAAAAAAAAGATTATCAACCAGGTGGACATACTTAGTAGATCCATTAAAATGACAAAACAGACAAATTGAATTATAAGATAATAATACTAATATGTACTCAAATGTAAATAAATAACATTATTGCTATTAATACTTAAAATAAATGATAATATAAATTATAATTAAGTATTTGTCAGTACCCAAGGAGGTGCCTTTGGATGAGAGGTAAATGCCTTGTAAACAGATGAATTGGAGCCTTATTGCCAAATGACCAGTTGGAGCATGGATACAACACACAAATAATGAGCTCACTTGATAATGAATGGATGTGGCTGTGTCTAATACGAATCTTCATAATTCAGTATGTTGTGTGTTGTTCAAATGTATTTAATGCACTCATGTGGAATAAAGAAACATTTTCTGAATGCTGGTGCCTGAGATTTTTCATTGCTTCTGTGTGAACCATCCCTCTTCACTGTTACTTTTTTGCCATTCCCATTCCACAACAGTTGATATAATGGAAACTTCATGAAGCCTAGCCTGCAAGAGTCGTGCCTTGGATGAATAATTCACAGGATAAAATCACTGACAGCACTCTGAGCAGGCTGCATGGATGAGGAGTGATCATTTAAGGAGAGCAATGTTGCTGGACCTGAAAGACTGGGGCCAATGGTTCTACAGGAAATGGCATCATAGGTAACTCAGGCCAGAATTCAGGGTTTGGAGTTATGACCATGTTCCCAAAGAAAATGACATGACTCTTCTTGAATAAATGTAGACTTTTGTGCATTAATAGATGTAGATATTTGTATATAAATAAATGTAGGTTGCTGTACATGAAAAAAATAATACATCCCCTGAAAATAAGCCCTATTGTATCATTTGGAACAAAATTAATAGAAGACCTGGTCTTAACTTGGGGGGAATATGTTAGGACCAACACCTGACCTGTGAGAGCAATGAGTGAATCATCACTGGGGATGGAATATACTCACGTCCCTATTATAACCGATTTATTCTGAAGCACATATCTGAAGAACAGCCATGCCAGGGTCCCCTGGAGCAGAGTCCTGAACCCCACTAGACCCTGGCTTTCACCTCACCTCTCCTCGCCAGGGTGAAGGGGGCTCCCAGCCTGTAGTTGTGTCTGCAGACCATATCCACAGATGCTCTGCTCATCTCCAGTATATCTGGTCGATTATTCCACTGCTCAGCATCGGGCTGTCCCAGCTCTGTCAGTGCCACAAATATCCCCACATCACTGTCGAAACGTACGTACTCCTCCAGGTTGAAAATGAATCTGACCACAAACTGCACTTTTTCTGTCCCGTTCGTGAAGTAACAGTCAGCCTTTGCCTGAATCACAAAATCTTCTGAAAAACCAAAAAGGACTAAGAACTAGTTCCTACCTCTGGGAAATCCAATATCTAGTAAATTATGTCAGACCACATGGGTTGGAGAGGAAGTCTTCTCAACCTGGTAACTCAAAAGCATAGTGTTGTGAGAAAAGAAATGGAATATGATTCAATGCACAATAACAATCATAAAAAATTTTAAATGCACACAAGAAAGCAATGTTACATATTTTTGAGAAACACCTCATACTTCAGACATACCAGGCACAACTAGAATGGCTTTCTGTGGATAGGAGAGGATGAAATGGAGGTGAAGGAAGAGAGGAGACAGCCCTTGCTCTGACCAGCGATCATAGTGTCCAGTGAGCTTGTTGAGTAAGATTAACTCAATTGTATGCACTTGAGAAAAAAAACAGTAATGGGAAATTCCAATGAGATTAATAACACAGGGAGGTCAGGGCAGACCTTTCTGAAGAAATGGCATTTGAGACTTGAAAGATATTTTCTACTGATCTTGAGTGTTAGATTTACTTTCATTTCCAACCTCAGAGCCCTCCTCCAGGGACTCCCGGGCAGAGCCATCAGAATGTGCTTCCTGGGCCAACCAGGCTCATCTCATTCAACAGTTGCGTCCAACAGAAGCTCCAGCCTCCAGGTCCTCAGCACTTATATCACTCTCTACTTCCTCTTATGGTCAAAATAAGAGAAATGTATGAATTTCATCGTTTAAAATCTATGCCGATTTTTTTCAGTTGTATGGTTTAAGGGAATAACACACTGAGAATGGTTTCTATTCTTCAAGCACAGTGGTGCTCTTCCCCCAGGTTTGTTCCTCTTTTGTTTTTAGTGAAACTTTGACACTTAAAGGGGATTCTATTCTTAGCACTGTACACCCTGTTTTCAGTTCTTAAATATGTGCATTCATGTCTAACACTTCTTCATGTTTGTGTAGCCTGTCTCCTGAGCTAGAAAAATCACAGTGGTAAATTAACTTGTACAGAATAACATGGGGCCAAGGGTGGTGAATAATTAGTGTCTTCATCTTCTTGTACTTCTCAAAACTGCTCACCACAATTTTGACTCTATAACAGGAGGTTAGTAAATGACAGATAAATTTCCAATTTCATTTGTCAACAGATACCCCCATTAGACAAATACAGAAATCATCATACTCATCAGAATGAACTCCTGGCCTAAGGGTGGCAGTCATTCTCAGATTGCTTCCAACTTTAACAGTTTTTGAGACTGATGTTGATACAGTAAAGAACCTAACCTGTCAAAATGTTTCCCTACACTTCGGGTCGTGTCTATGGTACTAGAAGTCCCTTTTCGAGGAAGTCCATTGTGAATGGAAAAGAGGGAAAGAGTATTTTCCTGTCAATGGGAAGAAAACTGCTCTTTGAAACCAGAAACCACTTCTACTCTTTCTGTGGCCTGGACCTATAGAGAAAAGCCTCCCTCCCTCATGGCCAGTTCTAGCATAAACACCCAGAAAGAAAGTTGCCCTGTTCTTACCTGGAGAGTCTCTGCCTTCTGTCATAGAGTACTCCAGCCTGATCAGAATCACTAGCAGACCCAGCACCCAAGGTACCCCACCAGAACCCATTCTGAAAGGAAGAAGAAAACAGGAAAATTGTCAGCTTCTTACACTGGAACTTGTCTCTGCACAACTCAGCCAAAAAACTACTTATTATGAGTATAAATAACTCTTGGCCTCCCTGGGGTTGGAAACTTCCTCAGCCTGCTGGCCAATCAAGATAGAAGAGTTTTGCATCATTAGGTGCTGGGAAGAATATGTCATAAAGCTCTGTTACACCACTCAAGGAGTGTGTCTTGGTTACTTTTCTCTCGTTGCTGGGACAAAATACCTGATGCCCAAAATGAAGGAAGGAAAGGTTTATTTTGCTTACAGTTTGTGGAGGTTTCAGTCCATACTTGGCAGATTACAAGGCAGACTGGCACATGGCAGAGAGCTACAGCTCATGGCAGCAGAACACAGCAAAGCAACAAACACACAATAGGGTGGAATGGCCTCAAGCACCCTTTTCCTCTCCCTTACATATGCAAACTATCCACCCCAGGTAGGTGTAGCTCTCACACCAATAATCAATCAAACTCTAAAAGCCTGCCCCATGACCTCATGAGGCTTTGAGGAGACACACAAACACAAACCATAACAGAGTGGTTAGTGGTTGTCTGCAGAATCACTCTCAGTAGTACAGCTACGTGAGAAATAGGTTGAGATAAGAAAAAAACTATGTATTGTGTATGTTAACCAGAAACCTTTACTGCGTAGGTAAAACTTTACTGCACATATACACACTAGTGTCCTAGAGCTATGTCACTAGTTCTGGCCAATGTGCAGTGAACAAAGAGTTCTTGACAAAGGAGTTAACTACCAGTGCCTGACTCTTCTCTTGCCCTACAAAGTTAACCAACACAGTCTTGTGTTAGTGACAGAATCACAATTTAAAAGCAATCAAATCAGCTGAATTATCACAGAATGGCCACTGCCCTGGCATCCACTAAACCTAAACAGGCTCTATGTAAGTGAAAAATATCCTTTATTTCATCAAGAAACCTGCAGTTGTTACTGTAGGGGAACAAACATCTCATCCTCAACCTATCTTAGGTTCTCTAGATAAGGCCCTGTAAACTGGACTAGCAAAAACAGATGAACAAAAGAAAATTAAATTAATGTAAACTTTATGTGATGTGGAAGCATTCATAAGGAAGTGGAGATCTAAAGAAGCTAATAAGCATCTGCATTTTTCTACTAGCGTCGGTAAACAGTAGAAAATTGTGGGTAACTGTGATTGAGAAGAGGTAAGAGCTAAGAGCGAGTTGGATGAGAAGCACCTGCCTCTGCCCTTCTTCCTGTGACTGCTGGGGGCAGGGTGATAGCCGTCACACCCCTCCCTCTCACTTCCCTTTGCTTTCCTATTGTTCCCTGAGGAGGGAACATGAGAGCCTGCATCAGTGTCCTCCTATCAACCCTAAGGTTGTTTCACAGATGTTATGGTTTATATCTAGATGTCCCCCAAAGCCTGGTGCACTCATAGGTGGGGCTTTTGGAAGGTGAATGAACCATGGGTGTGTGTACTGGATTAATCCACCTATGGGTTTATAGCTGGGTACACTGCGGGAAGGTGAAGCCTGGTGGAAAGAGGTGGACCAGTGGGCGTGGCCTGGAACGATACATGTCCCTGCTCCTGCCTTGATCCTGCTCTGCTTCCTGCTTGCCACGCTATGAGCAAGCCTACCCTGCCATGCCACCCGCCTTGGAACCAACTATAAGCAAAACCAAACCTATCCTTTAACTTGTGGATATCAGATATTTTGTCCAAGCAACAAGAAAATAGCTAAGACACAGCTACTCTCTGGGCCACTCTGACAAGAGGTGCAGCTCAGCTGTCAACTGAGGTCCCTCTTCCCCATCTCTGCCACTCCAGATGCTGCTGCTGCCTCTCTGGCAGGAAAACCACTGCTAACATGGCAGAGATCAGGGAAGGCCCCGGATGCTACTAATAACACCCCAACATCCCCAAGCCCCAGTAAGCTGTGATTACTACAGCCAGCCCTCCTGAAGATTCCCAGATTTTAGCCCCACTGTTTTTGTGGAGACAGAACAGCTGTCATTCAAGTAGCTGAGTCTCCAATTTCCCCTTCCAACTGCTACCAGGACAGCTGCCACTATCCTGAACACCCTATATTCACTCAGGGAGATGTCTGACCTGAATTTAGCAGGCTTGAATTAAAGCTAAGCAGAATAGAAGTGAATTTGGACAAATTGCTAGTCTCAGATCAGAAATCTTGAATTTAGACCAGGAGTCCCCAACCCAAGGACACAAACCAGCACCAGTCTGTAGCTGGGCTACACAGCAGGAGGTGAGTGGGAGGCCAGCAAGCAAAGCTTCTAAATTTACAGCTCTTCCTATCACTCACATTACACCTGAACTCCACTGTCAGATCAACAATGACAGCAGATTCTCGTAGGAGTGTGAACCTTCCTGTGATCTGCACATGCCGGGGATCTAGGTGGTGCACTCTTTGGAAGAATCTAATCCTGAAACCTTCCTCCTCACCCACCACTCTATGGAAAAATTATCTTCCACAAAACCAGTCCCTGATACCTAAAAGATTGGCGACTGCTGGTTTAGATCAGCTTAGGCCAATCTGCAAAATTAATCAGCAGGCTCAAAAATGGGCCAGTTATAGATTGAATTTGGACCAATCAGAAAACTTAAACTTAGACCAATAACAAACCTGCTGCTGCCATATAAGCAGGACTTCTCGCAAACTTTTAGGTTTGGTCTAGGAAGATTCCTCCTTGTGCCCTGATATTCTTGGGCTGCAATTTCCTCTTCCAAAAAAGCTTCAGCGGCAGTCCTGTGAATCTACTCATGATTTACTTCTCACACAGTGTGGGCTTAGAAGATTCTGTAAATCTACTTGGGAAATATGACTTCTACAGAGGTTGGTTTAGCATGTTTTTGAAAAGGATATTCATTTAATCCACATTTTCAAGTTCATTTTCATAAAATTGAGCAAAAAATAATCTCACAGAGCTCTCTCTTTCTGTGTTAATTTTGTGCTTATCGTTTCTTATTTTCTTTAAGTAAAAGTTCTCTATTTGTCTTGGTTGGTTTATTTGTCCAGTTAGGATTTTTTGAAACTTCTGAATTTCTTCATGCTATGTATTTTAATCTTTTAATGCAGTAGTTTCTGCCTTGTGTATATCATCTACTCCTGATTTCATTTGATTTATTTTGTTGTTTTCACTCAATTCACTTGGTTTCCTTTTTAATATAAGTAATTAAGGCTATGAATTCTCCTGTGAACCATGCTTTAGCTGTATCTCAAAAATTTTTACACACGATTTTAATCAGCATTTTCCTAGAAGTTTTTTCGTTTATTTTTTTGTCTCTGCTCCAACAAATAAACAATATCTTTATACATGCTTGTGAAGGACTTTCATCTCTTCTGGCTTTTTTATCTGACTTGTTTCACTATGGTCAAAGAATAATTTCTATATAATTCCTACTTTTCTTCATTGATTGAAGTTTTGTGCCATAATATATGATCTACTTTTATGTATGCCTTATTGAAACTTGGAAAGGTGCCATCTCTGTTTTCAATGGAAATCCAATATGGTTCCACAATATTTCATTTTTGTTTTCTTTTGGTGTAGTGTGAAGATCAAACCCAGGACTTTATGAATGCTAAGCATAAGCTCTGCCACTAAGTTATACTCCTACCCCTCTAATTTTTTATTTCAGTTATATCTTCTGCATTCATGCTTATTTTTTGTTGTTATTATTACCTTGACCTGTCTAGTGCTACACAGGAGAATTAAAGTCATTTATTGGTAATATATACATGAATGGTTTCCTTATATCTATCTTACACCCTCCTTTCTGTGACTTGTTTGTTATTTCTTTTTGATAACTCTATATATTTTACTCTTAATAAAAATATTTTGTCTTGCTCTATATCGTTAGGCTGAGTTTTACCTTATTGTGACTTCAACCACCTCTATGTTTGCATCATTCTCTTATGTGTTTCTCCAACATTTTGTTAGGTGAATAAATGAATAAATTTTTCTCAGTTAATTTATTTTCTATGTATCTTGTCTACTGAAAGCGGCAGAGATTTTCTTTTCATCTAATATAAAATATTTTTATTTATATAATTGAGTTAATACTATATAAAATGTTGTGCTATGGAGATGTTACTTGCTGCAGTTTGGATGTGGTCTGAGTGTGTCCCCAAAAGGTTCATGTACTGCAAGCTCAGTCCCCAGTGATAATATTGAAAGGTAGGAGATGGCTGTACTTTTCTCCCTTGTTCTTTTCTGTATTTTCTACATGATCTGCACACACACACATATACACACATGAATGCATATATATGAAAAAATGTATTTAAATGTATTTATTATGCCACATGAACTACTCAGTTACAAAGAGAGCTCTATTCACCATGAAAAAGGTTTCCAGACCTAGATAGCAGCCCTACTACCCCTCTGACAACCCTATCCTTCATTCCTATCAACCTCGGGTCATCGAAACACCTGTGGCCAAATCTCCATCACACCTCCAGCTCCAGAAATAACTACCCAGGAGCACAGCCCTAGGGAAATTCAGAGGAGGAGGTACTCATGGGTCTGCATTCTAGAGGCACCATAAAGGTCCATTATTCAGAGGCTTCAATTCTGCAGCTACTTCTACACCAGGCAAGCATATAGGCCATGGTCCTCCCTGGGCTGGATATGGTCCTGAATCTCTCCCTACTTGAAGTTTTTTTTTCTTTTTCCAGTACAGGGAATCAAACTCACAACCTTGCACTTGCCAGGCAGGCACTGTGCCACTGAGCTAAATCCCCAGCTCCATCTCCTCCTGCTTGAGTGCCAGGATCTGGTCAGCATTCTGAAATGTGTGCAGCCTGTGAGTGATCACCAGCACTATTCAGACCCCACAGGATTTTCAGGCCTGCAGCTGAAAGCCTCAGAAAGATAGGAATGAACACGAGAACCCAACTGAGCACTGTCTCTTCTGACTTGGGGTAAAGAAGAGATAAAGTTGCAAAGGGCAGTAGTAAGGGTCTGCCCTGCTGCTCCCTCTTGGCTGAACTGTTGCTTCTGAGGATGGAGAGGCAGTTTGGGAGCAGTCAAGGATGCCTCCCACCACTGTGTTCT